TGCAGCATAGACTGATAAGAACTTTTCGTTACTGGATTGTGAATTCAAATTGCACAAAATTAAAAATAATTAATATTTATTAATATTTTAATAATGTTTCAGGAATATTAAAATATAATACCTAGGTTTATTATATAAGTGGACATATAACCTCTATAGAATACTCCTGTAATATTAAAAAAATATTTATGATATTTTCGAAATATTATAATAACATTATTTTAATTTTTAATAATATTCATGTAACATTCTAGGAACATTTTGCGCTTATAGGGTAGCTTATAAGATATTATAAGATATAATTATAAGCTTATAAGATATTATTTTTATCTTTCATAGCAGAAATTCTGCTATCAAAGTCACACGTACATGAGCTTGTGCTTGCGTGTGCTACCCCCTACAGCACAAAAGTTGCAACAACAATGCTGCAACATTGCAGCAATATTGCATGTTGCAGCAATATTGCAGCGTTATTGCAGCGATATTACTGCAAATTCTGTGCTGTATGGGACCGGTTACGCCAGGCCGCCGACCGATGGCGATGTGATCGAGGGCTGCAAGCGGGTTGGAAATCGCATCACTGCCATGAAGTATACTCTTACTTCATGATCACTGCCAGAGTATACTCATACGCAGGGTTGGGCACGTATTATATACAGAGGTTTCTTACATAGTATTATACATGATATTATAAAAGTATATTAATACATCATTTAGTTTTATACGTATTATACTTCATGTGGCGCCATTTCTACATCATGTGCGTAATTTAATTATTTCTATCAATCTCTATATTATCCACGCTAAAAATCGATCCAAAATTCGCATATAAAATTCGCGAACAGACAAAGAATTAAGAGCTGAGCGTTGTAAGAGTCTTGAGAGGTCGCTCGTGCGGTTCGGACGTGTTCTGTCTCGAGCGTTACATCACCTCGATTTATATTTTTGAATTACGTGCATCATAGCCGTAACGCCGTAAGCGTCCAGTGTTTGGGGGGGTCCTCATCATTTTCGCAGCAATGGCAAAAATCGATATTTCAGAAAAATCGATAACATGGAGTCGTTCTGGACACTCGTTTTATACGGTTTTTTATGTATAATATCGTATAATACAGTATAATACAATATAATGTAAAAAACCTTATAGCGAATTCGATTAGACACACTCAGTGCGCACAGTGGTGCACATTAAAGCCGTCGTACACGAAATAACGTAAAGATATGTTTATAAATAAACATAGAGATCGATTAAATCGTAAAATATTTAATACATTTTATTGTACTATTAGGTAAAATATGTATTTCATAATTCGAAATATTTGCATTTCATTTTTATACTTACATTAAGTTAGTGTACAACGGCTTTAATATGCATCAGTGCATACTAGTTCTTCCAATCGAATTCGCCATTAGAAAATCCTCGGATAATCCAACCCTGAACGAGCATCGTTTGTCTTTGTTTAACATTTGATAAACGACAAGGATGAAATGATTCCACGAGCACGCATGTACCAGATCAGTCGTGTCAGAATTAGTGTTACGGTTCTGACAGGCGGCAGAGGCATCGCACCGCACTGCACAACGTTTGCAGTCAGCTGTTAGCTGCCATCGCGAATTTATTTTTGACATTACTGACAGATCGAAGCAGTTATATCTCGTTCACGTTCATCGTTGCAGAAGAGATACATCACCGCTCAAATATGATGGACTCTAGCAAGCTTATTCCTTTTTATTATTCCATGAGCGGGAACAGAGAGGAAGACGAGGTTAGTCTTTACTGTAATCTATGTATTTTTATAGCGTATTTTATTGGCAGAAATAGTGTGCACTCATTGCACATTAAAGCTGTTGTACACTATTCTAATCTAAATGTAAAAGTGTGTGAGATATCTCAATTGATAAAATAACCAATGTGTATTTTATCAAAGAGCATAATAAAATGTATTCAATATCGTATATTTCGCGGTTTAATTCGTTTCTATATTTTTATTAAATGTACATTTTTACGTCGATTTTTGTACAACGGCTTTAAAGTGCACTGAGTGCGCACTAGTTTTGCCAATGAAAAACGCTATTAATTGTTCAATTCTGTCATGCGCGTGCTTAGGCGCGCGCCATTTATTCATATAAACGTCTTTTTATCCTGAAAAAGAAATGTATTATTAATATATACATGTTATTTTATATTTTACTAGTATAATATAATTAATTACACAAAATTTTCTGTAAATTGAACGTAAATTTATACAACTCCTTTTTTCCTCATTTTTACCTCCTTGCTCGATTGTTCCCGCCTTGACAATTTGTATTTGAATTTTAATTGTCGTTGCTCCGAAATGATTCGCCGGTTGACTGATAGACTACGTTTACACCGTGCGCTTAGTCCGCGACATATACGATAGGTGTCTTTGTTTAACCTACAGGATAAACAAGGACATCTATTGTATAGGCCACGGCCTAAATGCACGGTGTAAACGTAGCCAATATTCTCATATAACAGCTGACGATAACGTTGGTATTTTATAATCCAATGTCATATGGAATCTTAAGACTGTCCGTGACAGAACGATTTTGATTATAAAAAACAACTATTGAATACCTCCCATCAATGCAGGCGCATCCAGAGGGAAATTGTGGAATTAAATTGTTTCCGAATTTTTTTCATTTTTAATTGTAAAGATAAAAAATTATTATTTTCTTTTTAATTCTATTCTTTGTACTTTTTTTACTTTTATAGCTTTCCTTTTTACTTTTGACATTATATGTGAATCCTGAAAATGTATTAAATAACTTTAAAAAATAATTCTTTAATTTTATAAATTTTATTGAACGGTCATTTTTATTTTTATTTATTCTTCTTTTTCTTTTATTTTAGTTTAATATAACATTTTTTATAATATTTAAAAGTGTTTCTTACAAAGAAGATTTTTTTTTATATTTTTTAAATATATAATTTGTCGATTTTCAGTAATTTAAATTTCTATAATTCAAAATCCCGGATTTTGGGCAATTCTTGGAAATTACGAAAATTTCTGAAATTTTAGATAATTGTACAATCTCTTTATTTTTGTTACGTTTGTGCCATTTTTTAATTGAATTTAGATGAAATTTAGAAGTGTAATTTCTTGTAGAAATTATTGGAACCAATCAGGTATATTCTTCAAGTTCCCGGAAAACAAATAAGAGCAAAATTAGCAAAAGCTTTTAATTACTGGCTAAAGATATCAGATGATAAAGTCCAAGAAATCGATGATATAATAAATATGCTTCACAATTCGAGCATCCTGTAAGTTTGCATTCTGTTACATCAACATAATATTTTGTTTTGCACCTTTTTTAATTACATATCTTTCTCATTAACTGTATCTTTGTATCTTTAAATAATTTTGTCTTTTTTAATAATTGAGATGATTGACGGAATAAAGGTCTAATTATACAATCTCGATTTTGATAAAAATTAAAATAATTTGTTACTTTTTTATTATACCACAAATGGGAACAGTATTAAGTGTATATTTATATAATGTCTTTGAGAAATTATATGTTATAATATTTCTCTATTATGATCAATATTTAAAAATTTATTTGCAATTTAAAAAATGTACTTAATCCCTTTTTTCGAATATTGATCATAATATTGTAAGAATCGATAGAAAGAAAAAACTATAAACTGCAGAAATGTTTTTTATTTTCAGATTCTTCTAGAAAAAGTACAAAATGAATATGAAATATATTTTACTTTTACTTATACAAAATAAATTGAAATAATGTTCAATCCTCTGATGAGTTTTTGTAAGATTTTTTAACATAAATATGTTGTGATGATAACATATTATTGTCGTATCATTTTCGTTCAATTTCTGATAAAAATCTCATTGATGATTTTAAATCATTTATGCCCTTTTTTCATAGATTATATCACTTTCACTACCACAGAAAAATCGAAACACGTTCATATTTAACTAATGTAAGCAACATCAATTCCTTGTTTATTTGCGCTAATCTCCGGAAAAAGGGCCTAAAGTAGAATTATGTCTTTATTCCGCCAATCCTTGTCTTTAATTGCAACTCGTTAAAAACTGGATAATTAACTGAAGTGCAGATATAGATACTTTGCAAAGTATCCGCAATTATATTAACTTAAAATTTAATGTTTTTATAAGAATTATAATTTTTTCGGTGCGTAATTTGCAGAATTGAATATACATACGATATACATCAAAGTATGGGCAAAATTGTAATTCAATTAACAATTAACAATTAACAATTATAATTTACAATGTAATTCTTAATTCAATTGATAATTACGAAATATAATTACTAACTGAATTAAGAATTACATTGTAAATTGTGATTGTTAATTGAGTTACAGTTTTACTCAACTCTGATATACATATATAAATTCACACTGAAATACTTAAGCACTAAGATTCACTTTGATCGAAAATAGAATAATTTCTCTTAATTAATTGCTTTATTCTTGTCAATCTAATTTCAAATTATATATAATTGTTTATATATTTCTTTGAAAATCGATCTTTCTTGCACTAGTTATTGGCTATTGTGAGAAATATTACTGAAGCCTCCATCCAATCGGAAGGACGGCCTTATGGAATTCGAGATATCCGAGTTTGAATCCTGGCTGAGGTAATATTTTTCGCAATAAATAACTTACAGCTTTTTTTTTTTTTAAGAAACTTACATTAGCATCAAATTATTATTACCTTTCTAAGATTCTTGTTAGCATCGATATTATTGAATTACTTGTCAATTTAATGCGTGATATTAATACTAAAGTTTTATTTATGTTTCAAGATTGAAAAAGATTTTTAGCGTGATTTACAGAATTTAATATGTATATAAATTCACACCGAAATATTTAAGCACTAAAATCCATCTTGTCTGAAAATAGGATTATTTCTCTTAATTAATTTATTTATTCTCATCATTCTAATTTCGAATTATTGGATATATATAGCTTTCATCTATTTTCGCAGGATTGATGATATTCAAGATAATTCCACTATGCGAAGAGGTATTCCTGTTGCACATTCAGTTCATGGAATTGCTAACTCAATTAATGCTGCATGTTATATAATAGCCATAAGAGTTACTAATTTAAAACATCCAGCGGTAGGTGATGATTACATAGAGAAACGTTGTGAGCTCTGTTGGTCTTCACGTTTTATAATGATATTTTGATGTAAAAATAAACCATGGTGAGAGATATATGTATATCTCTCATTACTATAATACTTACAAGAGTTTTCAATTTACTTAAATACAAAGTTTAAGACATTCATGTAATAATATTATAAAATTATTTTATGTAAAAGAGAGGATATTTTTTAAAATTAAATTAAAAATACTATTATAATTGTTCCATTTTCTCATATTGTCCTCTTTTAATTATCTTTCTTAATATTACTCTTTCTTAATATTACTCTTTGTTAATAATGAATATTGATAGAAGCAGCTATTTAAAATAATTATGAATAGTTTTAATAAATAATGATATAGAGAATTCATTTTTAGAGAATCATCTAAATATCATATTAATATGTTAATAAATAAGATGTATGGTACACTGTGTACGGCCATGACTGCTATTACAATGCAGTTTTTTTTATCTACTTATCTTTCTTTTTTCTTTTCTTTATTCGTCATGATTGATTTTGCTAAAGATGTAAAAATGAAAATAAAAGAAATTAATACATATGTAATATAGATGCAACTTATATCAATGTTATCTCTAAAAATATGAGACACACAACATTACAAATAATAATTTAAGTTAATACATATTGAAAATATAATAGTATATATTATATATATAACATTATTATCAGGCAACGCAAGTATATATGGAGCAACTATTAGAGCTTCATAGAGGTCAAGGAATGGATATTTTTTGGAGAGATAATTTCATCTGTCCAACTGAGGAAGAGTACAAGACTATGATAATAAGAAGTAACTGCTAATATTTATACAATCTCTATCTTATATATGTACATATAGAAAAAAGTCATTTATGTTAAAAAAGGATTTAAACATTCATTAATTTTGCAGAAATTCGTGGGTTCTTCAATTTAGTGGCAAGATTAATGAAACTGTTCTCAACTTATGAAGAAGATCTTTCGTCATTAATAGCTACTTTAGGATTATATTTTCAAATACGCCACGATTATTGTAACTTGTGCCTCGATGAGGTAAGCGATAATATATACGATTTAATGAAATAAATTTATATTACCTACATTTATTTTTGTTACAGTACGCTAAGAATGAAAGTTATTGTGAAGATTTGACTAAAGGAAAATTCAGCTTTCCGATTATTCATGCCCTTAGAAGCAATCCTGAAGATAAACAAATAATAAGTATCCTTTATCAAATGTTATTTTTATTTAGTAAAAAGTATATTCGTTATACAATTAATAAATTTTGTTTACTAATTGCTCCATATACTTCAGGTTTGAAAATTTTTATTATAATTTATTAGATTTATATATTTCTTTAATAATGATTAATAAAGATATTTTACGACAACGAACAAAGGATATCGAAGTGAAACGTTATTGCGTTAAATTATTAGAGAAATTTGGTTCCTTTGAATACACAAGAAATGTACTTGAAGAATTGGATTCGACTGCGAGGGCTGAAATTGAACGATTAGGTGGTAACCCGCTTCTGGTGAGGATTCTAGACGAGCTTAAGAATTGGGATACTCAAGATGCGCCTAAGGATCCTTTAACTGGAACGTTTTAAATTTAAAATTATTTATTTGTTGTAAAACGGCAAAAAAAGCATTACACAGGTTTTTTAAATAATATACAATACAAAATAATTGTAATGATGCAAGTGGTAATGCTTATACTATGATATATTAATAAATTATGTAAGAAAAAATATATAGAAAAGTATACAAAAAATATATAATAAAATTTTTTATTAAATGATAAAAATTAATATTTGTAAAATTTTATTGGATATCCGTGCACTACAAATAAAAATGGATTTCTATAAAAGATTTAAGAACACTTATAGAGAATATAAGTTGTTACTTTTTTAATTAACATTTTATTTAGCTGTAAACATTTCGAGTTATCCAAAGTTAAATAATAATATAAAAAATATAGTAAAAGAAGTTATGTATACATGTATACGTTGCATAAGTTCAACAATAGTTTATTTTTATTTGCAAATATATAATTATGTAACCAAATACAGTGTTTTTTTTTTTTAAACAAAACCAGTTTTAAATCTGTTTAAATTTTGTAGAGATCATGTTACTACCTCTGTTTCTTCTTCGATATATTATACATTAGTTTCACCACATATTTATAACACATAAACGTAGAATATTATAATTTATGCGTAGATGTACAACTCTGGTACTCAAAACATTCTTTATTCTTGGTGAATTTTTTCTTTAGGCACGTGCATATATTTTGTATGCATAAATAAATGTATGAATAAATAAAAATTTTTATTCATTAAAAACGACAAATATCGTTTACCTACCAATCAAATTTCATTAATGAATTTAACTTTTTACGTGTTATTTACGTCGTACCGATAAGATAATCAACATAAGAGAGAGAGAGAGGCCATAGATTTAAACAAAGAGCACATACCCTTGCAAAACACAACGCATAATGCATAAGAAAATGAATCAAAGTTTTTTATTTCCTTTCTTTCCATGTAATAGAGGACTTTGATTGGTTGATTTCCTTATGCCTTATGCATTATATAAGAGTCTATACTCTCTGCTTTAACATATATTACCTATTCTATTGTTGCTAGTACATCAGAGAAGAACCTATAAGTGTTGCCGCTATTTATATTTTCGAACATCTTCCTTGCTACACAACGTTTCAGCTCTAATTTCGAAGGTCTTCAGCAATAACTTCTAAAATCTTATTACAATTATATAAAAAGAATAGTGTCTATAGGAAAGGGTTGAATTCCACACAGTAATCTCGAGCTTTTTACTTGTACAATACGATTCTTTCGACGCACAGATAAGTATGTAAATATCTCTGCTCATAAGAACAAAGCTAAATTGTAATGCTAAATGTTTTTTTTTCTGATTTGCTCTACATCTTCATACGCTACAAATACTCTGAATTATAAACACCATAATTTTTTATCAGATATATAAAAAACAGCGATAATTGTGGCTGGAGCAGCAAAATATTTTTTATTTTATATAAAGCTTTATTCGAAATATTATTTTTTAAAGTAAATTGAAATTAAAATGTATAGATTAAATATATTTTATGTAATATTTATGATACCCGTGGCTCGGCATGTCCCGTGATCCGTCTTGGCTCACCTAGACTCGTCATAGAATCAGTCTCAAAATTGATACAAGAAAGGCTAAAATCGCGGTTTCAAAGCGCGCCATGATAGGAACAGGGTGGCTCACTGTTCCTCGCCACAGCTCGCGATTCGTGGTTCGCGGCTCGAGTTGCCAAATTGTCGGTAAGTTACGCGAGTCAAAGAGCTCGACAAGGCTCGCGCCTCGACTGAACGAAATAATTAACTGCATTAGATCGTTGTACCACCCAATTCTTCTATGCATGCATATAAATGTGTAAGAGCCTGTTCATTATTGCTAGTTGAGACACTTATTAAGTGACTTTTTGATCATTCAAGTCATAATATGGAGTAGGATGAGAGATGAAAAAATTGTCGAGTTTCTATAATTACATGAAAAAAATGACTTTTCGCAAGCATTAACCACGTTCAAGAGAATACTTGTTTTGAGTGTTGTAAGTTTCTTTCGTGTTGATTAAATTATACTTTTAGATTTTCTAGTCCTGTATCAGCGGAGAAAACGCTAATATTTGCAAAATAAGCATTCTGCTGAACGGAATCATTGACGACCCAACAGCGCAGGATGCTTTATCGGCTTGTCTACTCAGAAAAGCTTCTTTGGCTCGCGAATTTACCGCTAATCTTCGAAAACGACATGTCATGAGTCACGAACTTCGAGCGATAATGAGCTTGGGACCATCCTGGTCCCACGTCGCGTAGAGGCTTTCCAAGCTATGGTGAGTCATGGCGAGCTATGCCGAGCCACGGTCCATTGGATCCTACTCTTGCTCGTATTTAAAACGTTTGGTATGTAATTCGAGCATTATTAGATATTATAAGGCAAGGAATTAAACAATATCACCAACTCGGTTACCTTTAAGTTAAATTTATCGCGAAATTATAGATTTCTACGTATCATTATAATTCAGAGTGTAAGATGACAGACATGAAAAAGATTGTACCTTTCTACTATTCGATAAGCGGCAATATGGAGGAAGACAAGGTCAGTTTTATAACGTCTTTTCTTTTATTTTATCACGTCTCTTTTATTTTTTCAGTTCAATTTTACTATTGGTTTTATTACTTATTTTATTTAATTTTTGTTGTGTAGAAACTTTTAGAACCGGCCGAATACAGTCTGCAATGCAATGATATACATCCATATAGAAGATTAACCTCGATTTTCAACTACTGGTTTAAAATATCACCTGATAAATTTCAACAGATTGACGAAGTAATGCAAATGGCCTATAATGTAGGCACCTTGTAAGTTATCTTTTATTGTGAAGCATAACTCACTTATGTATTTTTGTTAAAATCATATGCGCGCGATAAGGAATAAGGCACAACCTTTCCAAAGAAAATTTGTTTTACAATTTATACTACGAATATTTTCCTCTTTTTGTCGTTACATCTAATACATCGTTCTCCCGCAAAAAAATGACAAGAGTCACTTTAATTCAATATAAAATTTCTGTTTAATATAAAATTGTTCAGACAAATGAAGGAGGGGGGGAGGAACATTGTGTATTTTATAAAATTTACTATTTATTACGCTCTTGACAGAATTATATATAAGTTAACTTATTATAGAACTAATCGCAAATTTCTTGTTTCAAGTTGTCTAGAAGTGTTTTATACTTCTAGATTATATCTATATTAATATATCTATATGTAGATATTAATCTTGTTATGGTGTTATATGTTACTCTCGATGTTACTATTAAAAACTTTCCTTGTATTATTTTTCGTTATTAAGTATTTGAATTTAACATATATCACTTTTCCTGATTGAAAACTGATGCATTTAGAATACCATCTACTCGTAATATAAAATTCGAAAAATTTCGACTTGTGTCATTCTTCTTGCAGGGGTATGATATGTTTTAACAAAGATTATATAAAAATTTATATAAAAATTTTTTTAGATAAGTCGCGAACTTCCACTTCAATTATTGTTTTGCTGTTACAAGTTGCCGTATTTCTGGCCTCATGTTTTTTATCATACTTATTTCTAACATAAACAAATCAAGAAAAATAATAGCCCATCCACTAACTGAAAAGATTATTTTGTGTACATAATTTTTATAGATTTATAATGTTTTTGTTCTTTGACAAATTCGATGATATTCAAGATGAAGCCATTATGCGAAATGGTTTTCCCGTAACCCATTCTATTTATGGACTTCACTATTCAATAAACGCTGCAAATTATTTAGAACTTATTGCTTATCAAAAACTTATTAATTTACATCCCATGGTAATAAGTATGTCTGTGTAAAAGTTTGAAAAATTGAATGTGTTTTATTTTCTTGATGTGTTACAATACAAATCGAAATGGGAAGTATTATAGATAGTTTTACCAAAATTGCTTTTATATAAGTGTAAAACGTGCGTTAAAAGTCGCATTTGGATTTATAAAAATTATGTTTTTCTCAAATATATTAAAAAAATATCTATTTCTTTAACACAATAAAGATGCAAGATGTATTTTTTTAAAACGTTTTTGAAAAATCTTATATCATTTCTTTCTATTGTTCACATAACTGGAACGTTTGATGAGAATTCGGTTTTTTGCATGCATAAAAAAGATGCAGATTCATTGAGTCAATTCCAGTCTCTATTCGTTACTTACTTGTTGAAGATGATTCAAAATTAATCCCGAACGTCCAGTCTATTTTAACGTTGTACTACTTTTTCCGTCTAAAACATAAAATAAACTATTAAAATATAATTCTCATTATAAAACTGCATTTTTTACAGTACGGATTGATAATGCTTTCCTTTAATTTTGATTATTTTAAATTATATTATACATCTTAACAGGCAGTTAAAATTGTGATTGAACAATTCATGGAATATTACAAAGGTCAAGGAATGGATTTATATTGGAAGGAAAATTTCATCTGCCCAACTGAAAAAGATTATCATAGTCTAGCATTAAGAAGTAAATATTCATACTTTTGTAAGCTTCTGTATGTAAAGCGTATTACATATTTATGTATAATTTGAATGTTAATTAATTTTATAGAGAGTGCTTGGCTAATCGAATTGGTGGTAAAATTAATGAAACTATTTTCTACTTATGAAGAAGACGTTTTGTCGCTAGCAAGTACTCTAGGATTGTATCGCCAGATACATGATGATTATTGCAATTTACGGCACGATGAGGTAATCAATAATTTAATTAAATTACTTGAACCAAATTTAACAAAATTTATTGTTATTACAGGATACTAATGAAAACAGTTATTGCGATGATCTGACCGAAGGAAAAATGAGTTTCCTAATTATTCATGCGCTTAAAAACAATCCTGACGATAAAAAATTAATAAGTATCCTTTATCAAACATTATATTTAATATAAAATAAATAGATACTAAGTAACATATATTATTTCGTATTAAGTAGACAACAAGAAAATTAAATGGTAAATACATCTTTATTTTCAAAATTTTTCTAATAACAATTTTTATATAGCATTTGTATATCCTTAATAATAATTCAAGATATTTTGAAACAACGATCGAAAAATATTGAAGTAAAACGTTACTGCGTTAAAATATTAGAGAGTTACGGCTCATTTAAGTACGCGAAAGATGTTCTTGATGAATTGGATAAAGATGAGAACCGAAATTGATCGTTTAGGTGGTAATCCGCTCTTTGTAAAGCTTCTGGACGAGGTAAAGAATAAGATGTTGAAAACACGTATCTAAAGGTTCTCTAACTGAAATGATGAAAAATTCAGAATTATATATTTTATTATTAATAAAATATCAGACGTAGCATTGCGTAATTTATCCATGCTGTAACAAAAATTAATATCTGTATATGAATGAAGATAAATAAAGCTTATTTATGGAACTTCACTAAAAAAAATCATTTGTAAAATGCTATGGCAATAAATCGTTATATACAAACAAAAAAATATTCTTCCGATAAACGGAAAATTCCTCTTAGCATTTCTTCTAACAATGCACGGAAGTGTCGTCCTCCGATTTTGACAAGCTTGTAATATGTTATTCTCCAAACAAAAATAAGCGACAATACATGCCCATACGCACTTTTAAAACGCTCGATTGTGATTGGCCGATTTGCTTACGGCCTTACGATTACGACTAAAATTTTTGTACGCGTGATGGCCTTAAACCTAACGTTCCTATGGTTACTATCTGAACTTCTTTCTCTTTTCATCCTTCTTTCGCTCTGTCAAAACTCACTATATCTATTCGCGTCGCATTTCAATGAATGCGTTAGAGTGAATAAAAGCTATTGTAGGAGCATATTGGAGCATGCAACGCGAATAAACCCACTATTGCAATGAAATAATCTAAACTTAATGAAAATTAATAAAAATAAATTGTAAATATATTGAAAAATTAGGAAAAAATGTAGAAAAATTAAAAAAAATATTAAATCACCTTCAAAACATATATTTATATAGAGTAATATTACATAATTGTAAATATATGCTAGGTATCAAAATGTTATGAGTTGATATAAAAGAAAATTTAGATTTCTTTCTCGAGGTTTCTCACACACTTCACCAAATGGGCGATGCACGTTGTATTTCCCTCCAAATTTTTACTCTCAACCGCTCTCAACTCTTTAAATGGAACATTGAAATGGTCATTTAAATAGAGAGAGAACAATAAAGAAAAGGAAAAAATAAGACGGGGCAACTTACTTATTTCACGCATGTGCACTCCGTTTTGGCCAACATAAAATCAAGAGAGTTGCGCTACTGTGTATCTTGATATTTTGTAATTCGTGATAATGCATTTCCATGTATAGAATGTATTTCAACTAGAAGAACAATTTATGAAGAAAAATTGAAGAACATGTTGCACACGTCAAACTCGTATCATTACTCTGTAAATAATTAGAAAAAAAATCATTAACACGTGTATATGTATAATTATGCGCATTGTAATATTATATTTTTAAATAAAGTTGAACAAGCATACATCTAACCTGTAAAAATATAAAAAAATAGAATATATATTAGACTTTATTAATCAAATATGATAAAAAAATATATAACAAAAATTTATTAATACAAAATAATTCCAATATTACTTACTTTACTGATATTATAATTTTCATCGTCCATTTCGTTATTTTCTCTCCTGTAGTATACTGCATTAAAAAAAAACGAAAATTCATGTCCTCCAACCTCATTTATAATCTCCCGACTTGAATGTCACTAGAAAACACAAGGCTACACAGCCCTCGGCTGAGTAAAGATGTGTAGTGTTGTGTCGACGATAACGGGTAATTGGAACGCAACTTGTGTCACCGTGTGCACGAAAGTGTCTAGGGATATTGTAATTGGAAAGCACCCAATGGTATCGCTGTTTATTGTAAACAGTTTCATAAACACCGATATCGCCGATCCTGAAACCTTCCCGCGCCGCGCTATCTCCATCCTTCCCCCTCCCCTCGCCGCGGCAAACGAATACCCTACGCGCCCCGCTTCGCAATTGTCAACAAAATGACCCAGAATCCCCCCCCTGTATTGTTACTCATAAGGTGCGTTCAGGACGCTATTAGCGCTATTTCTGTTATTCTATCCTTGTTTTACGTCTAATAAACAACGAAGATAGAATGATAGAAATAGCGCTAATAGCGTCTCCCTGAACGCACCAATAGAGTAGAATTGTCCGCAATACGTCTAGGGATTAGGCTATAATAGTATCCCTAGAAGGTAGAGTCTGGCCACACACTGTGATTATTTTCACTGGTCAATCCCAAACCCCCTCACAATGGTGTGACCAATCACACAGTACAGAAATCGCGCGTATACAGAGTGTTTGGTAACGACCGCAAAATATTTCGTGCGTGTGTAGAACAGACTACACTGAGTCGAAAAGTCCTGTACCATTTTGCGGTGTCAACAATAGTTAAGGAGATATTAACGTTTAAAGATAACCGAATAAGAGCGTCCGGTCGGCCTATTGCTGCCGAATGTACAACCCACCGATCGCGGGGAGTGGGGCAAGCACCCCGCTGACCGCCGCGAACCACTAAGCTCGAACGGCGCGCGCGCCTGAAGGCCATCCCCACTCCCAGCGGCCCGCGCGCCGTGTGATCGTGGCCGGTGGGTTGTACATTCGGCAGCAATAGGCCGGCTGGATGCTCTTATTCGGTTATCTTTAAACGTTAATATCTCCTTAACTATTATTGACACCGCAAAATGGTACAGGACTTTTCGACTCAGTGTAGTCTGTTCTACACACGCACGAAATATTTTGCGGTCGTTAACAGACACCATGTATATGTATATAGATGACAATCTGCTTGAAAATATGAAGGCTATGAACGCTTCGAAATATCTATTATACGCAACAGTAAGGCATTTATGTATTCTGTAAATAATGTATATTGCATTATAAAATTCCTTTTATGATTAACGTATTGTAATAATGTTATTTTTGCTAGGTTAGAAAGCTACTTACGGATTTTACACTTCTAAGAAATGTGAAATTGACGAGTTGCAACACGATAATAATTTAACTAACCGTGTGTTCGACCGTTCTTATGTCCTTTATTAATGTCCGTTAAAAGGGTATACCCGCGATATGTACTTAGAGAAAGACATGATCCTCACATATTATACATGATCCCCACCATTTTCTGGCGCCATTTTGAGGAATATGTGGTCAAATTCAATCTTCTAGGGACACTAGGCTATAAAAATATATGGCGACATCTTTAGGATATTCCTGTGATGTGTTTCGAATATTTCAGCTTTGTGGACATTCACACATATTCCCACTATAAATATAAATTGTATAAGTATTATATAAATAAAATTATGTTAGTATTTATTAAATCCATAAATTATATCGACTCTAACTTTTTTAAGAAACGTTTGTAAATTATCAAAATTCTAAGGATTAAATTTAGGAAGATATAAAAACTTTTATTATTACTTTTACTGCTGCAATATACACAATGTGCATAATATTTATTGTTTCTCTTTATTAAAATAAAATCTAGTTCATTAAAACCATTATTCATTTTTCGTGGCATGTATGAGACAATGAATTGTTATATTTAAAAATCCAGTTTATAAATTTTAAGATATTAATACAAACGTTGAGTTGTAAAATTTCATTTCTATAAATATCGCATGAAAAATTTATGACTTCAATACACAATTCAAATTTGCTCAATACACCGAACAATAGAAGCATTGTTTGAACAACAGCTACGTTTTTTCCGTAAAAGCTAAAAGGTTAATACATAAAGGAATATAATGGGCGCATTCAGCAGACTCAACAATTGAGCGAGCGCTCGCTGCTATTGATGTATTCTTCTAGATCTAAAATTCTAATTGGATGAGCTAAAAGAATACACCAATAACAGCAAGCGCTCACTTAACTGATGAATTCGCTGAATGCTCCTATTGGTAGGCTGCCGCGAGAATTTCGGCTGCATGGTGTGTTAATGAGACCTGTGCGCACATTGAGTAATTGTTACATATAAGTTTATATAGATGACACCCCTAATGACACACTTTATCCAGGATACATCCTGGGGATGTGTCCTTAGGATATTTAAACATACGGATATTTCCTGGACGTTCTCAAGACGTTCTTTGGAGATCTGTGCTGTTAGGGACCTTATATAATAGTTTACGCTGTTTACACGAAAACGTAGAATATATTATAATTTACACGTAGATGCACAACTCTGGTATTCAACACTTTCTTTATTCTTGGTGAATTTTTTCTTTAGGCACGCGTGAATATATTTTGCATTACTACATGTATGAATAAATAACAAAAATTTTTATTCATTAAAAAAAGACAAATATCGTTCATCTACCAATCAAATTTGATCATTAAATTGAATTTTTTACGTGATATTTACGTCATACCGACGAGATAGCCAATATAAGCCCATAGATTTAAGTGGGGAGTACATATCCTTGCAAAACACAATGCATAATGCATAAGAAAATGAATCAAAATTTTATTTTCTTTCTTTCCATGCAAAAGGACTTTGATTGGTTGATTTTCTTATGCCCTATGCATTATGCATTATATAAGAGTCTATACTCTCTGCTTTAACATATATTACCTATTCTGTTGTTGCTAGTACATCAGAGAAGAACCTGTAAGTGCTACCGCTATTTATATTTTCGAACATCTTCCTTGCTACACGACATTTCAGCTCTAATTTCGAAGATCTTCAGCAGTAACTTCTAAAACACTATCTTATTACAATTATATAAAAAGAATAGTGTCTATAGGAAAGGGTTGAATTCCACACAGTAATCTCAAGCTTCTGACTCGTACAATACGATTTTTTCGACTCACAGATAAGTATGTAAATACTTTGCTCATAAGAACACAGTTAAATTGTAATGTTAAATGTTTTTTTTGTCGGATTTGCCCCACATGTCCATACGCTACAAATACTCTGAATTATAAACACTTATGTACCCTTAATTTTACTATTATCTTCGTATGACACATAATTTTCTATCAGATACAAAAAATAGCGATAATTGTGGCTGTAGCAGTAAAATATTTTTTACTTTATATAAAGCTTTATTCAAAACATTATGTTTAAAATATTTTTATATTAAAATGTATAGATTAAATATTTTATGTAATATTGAAGATGCCCATGGCTCGGCATGATCCGTTTTGGCTCATTTAGACTCGCGTCACAGTATTAGTCTCAAAATTGATACAAAAAAGACTAAAATCACGGTTCCACGGCGCGCCGTAATAGGAATAGGATAATTCGCTGTTGCTCGCCACGGCTCGCGATTTGTGATTCGCGGCTCGAGTTGACAAATTGTCGGTAAGTTATGAGAGTCAAAGAGCTCACCAGGGCTCGCGCCTTAACTAAACGAAATAATTAACTGCATTGCATCGTTTTACCACCCAATTTTTCTATGCTTGCATGAAAATGTGTAAGAGCCTATTCATTATTACTAGTTGAAGCATTTATTAAGTGACTTTTTCATCATTTAAGTCACAATACGGAATAGGATGATGAAAAAGTTATCGAGTTTCTATAATTACATGAAAAAAAATTGATAAGAAATAACTTTTCGCAAGCATTAACCACGTTCAAGAGAATATTTGTTTTGAATGTTGAAAGTTTCTTTCGGTGATAAAATTATACTTTTAGATCTTCTATAGTTTTATATCAGCGAAGAAAATATTAAAAATTTGCAAAATAAGCATTCTGCTTAACGTGATCATTGACGACCTAACAGCGCAAAATGCTTTGTCGGTTAATCTACTCACAAAGGCTTCTTTTTGCTCGCGAAACTTACCGCTAATTTTCAAAAACGACATGTCATGAGTCACGAACCTCAAGCGATAATGAGCTTGGAATTATCCTGGTCCCACGTCGCGTAGAGGCTTTCCAAGTTATGGTGAGCCATGGCGAGCTATGCCGAGCCACGGTTCATTGGATCCTACTCTTGCTCGTATTTAAAACGTTTGGTATGTAATTCGAGCATTATTAGATATTATAAGGCAAGGAATTAAACAATATCACCAACTCGGTTACCTTTAAGTTAAAATCATAATTTATCAAAATTATAGATTTCTACGTATCATTATAATTCAGAGTGTAAGATGACAGACATGAAAAAGATTGTACCTTTCTACTATTCCATAAACGGTAATGTGGAGGAAGACAAGGTCAGTTCTATGATATCTTCTTTTTTATTTTATCATATCTCTTTTATTTTTTCAGTTCAATTTTACTAACTATTGGTTTTATTACTTGTATTATTTGATTTTTTTTGTGTAGATACTTTTAGAACCGATCAAATACAGTCTGCAATCCAGTGATGCACATCCATATAAAAGAATAACCTCGATTTTCAACTACTGGCTTAAACTATCACCCGATAAATTTCAACAGATTGACGAAATAATGCAAATGGTCTTTAATGTGTGCATCATGTAAGTTATCTTCCGTTGTGAAACATAACTCACTTTTTATAGATTTATAAAGTTTTTGTTTTTTGACAGATTCGATGACATTCAAGATGAGGCCATTATGCGAATTGGTTTTCCCGTAACCCATTCTGTTTATGGACTTTACTATTCAATAAACGCTGCAAATTATTTAGAACTTATTGCTTATCAAAAACTTATTAATTTACATCCCATGGTAATAAGTAGTTTATGTCTGTGTAAAACTTTGAAAAATTGAATGTGTCTTACATTCTTGATGTGTTACAATAGAAATCAAAATGAGAAAGAGACAGTTTTGCCAAAATTGCTTTTATATAAGTGTAAAACGTGCGTTAAAAATCGCATTTGGATTTCTAGAAAATATGTTTTTCAAATATATATATTTTAAAAATATCTATTTCTTTAAAACAATAAAGATGTAAGATATATTTTTTAAAATGTTTTTGAAAAATCTTATACTATTTCTTTCTATTGGACACGTAACGGGAATGCTTGATGAGAATTCGATTTTTCGCATTCATAAAAGATATGCAGTTTCATTGAATCGATTCCAGTCTCTATTCGTTTCCTACTTGTTGAAGACGATTGAAAATTAATCCTGAACGTCCAGTCTATTTTAATGTTGTACTACTTTTTCCGTATAAAACATAAAATAAACTATTAAAATATAATTCTCATTATAAAACTGCATTTTTTACCGTGCGGATTGATAATGCTTTTCTTTAATTTTGATTATTTTAAATTATATTATACATCTTAACAGGCAGTTAAAATTGTGATTGAACAATTCATGGAATATTTCAAAGGTCAAGGAATGGATTTTTATTGGAAGGAAAATTTCATCTGCCCAACTGAAAAAGATTATCATAGTCTAGCATTAAGAAGTAAATATTCATACTTTTGTAAGCTTCTGTATGTAAAGCGTATTACATATTTATGTATAATTTGAATGTTAATTAATTTTATAGAGAGTGCTTGGATAATCGAATTGGTGGTAAAATTAATGAAACTATTTTCTACTTATGAAGAAGACGTTTTGTCGCTAGCAAGTACTCTAGGATTGTATCGCCAGATACATGATGATTATTGCAATTTACGGCACGATGAGGTAATCAATAATTTAATTAAATTACTTGAACCAAATTTAACAAAATTTATTGTTATTACAGGATACTAATGAAAACAGTTATTGCGATGATCTGACCGAAGGAAAAATGAGTTTCCTAATTATTCATGCGCTTAAAAACAATCCTGACGATAAAAAATTAATAAGTATCCTTTATCAAACATTATATTTAATATAAAATAAATAGATACTAAGTAACATATATTATTTCGTATTAAGTAGACAACAAGAAAATTAAATGGTAAATACATCTTTATTTTCAAAATTTTTCTAATAACAATTTTTATATAGCATTTGTATATCCTTAATAATAATTCAAGATATTTTGAAACAACGATCGAAAAATATTGAAGTAAAACGTTACTGCGTTAAAATATTAGAGAGTTACGGCTCATTTAAGTACGCGAAAGATGTTCTTGATGAATTGGATAAAAAGATGAGAACCGAAATTGATCGTTTAGGTGGTAATCCGACCTTTGTAAAATTTTTGGACGAGTTGAAGAATAAGATGTTGAAAACACGTATCTAAAGGTTCTCTAACCGAAATGATAAAAAATTCAGAAATATATGTTTTGTTATTAATAAATTATCAAACGTAGCATTACGTCATTTATCCACACCGTTGTATAAAATAATTTCTTATTAAACAGCAAAATATAACAAAAATAAATATCTGTACGAATGAAGATAAATAAAGCTTATTTATGAAACTTCACTGAAGAAAACCATTTAAAATACCGTTTAGAAAAAAATCGATTTTTCTCTTTCGAAACGAATATCTCCGGAACTGTAAGAGATAGAAAAAAGTTTTCAGAAATAAAATTGAATGGCAAATACCTTAGAAATATAATAAAATTTTTTTTCATTATAATTAAACAATTTTTATTATAAATAAATAATTTACAAAATTTGTTTTATTATAGTTCTAAAGTACTCTTGAAGCCATTCAATTTTTATTGTGAAAATATTTTTCTATCTTTTACAGTTCCGGCAATATTCGCTTCGAAAGAGAAAAACCAATTTTTTTCTAAAGTGTGTTTCACCTCCTAAAAGAGCGTATGTGCATGTATAAAAAAATACGTGTCACTTATTTTTGTCTGGAGAATAATATATTACAAACTCGTCAAAATCAGAAGACGACACTTCCGTTCCTTCCTTTGTAAGTAAAAAATTTTAAATGAATCTCACACAGGCGCGTGTATTCATGACATGTATTTATCTATAAAAATAAGGACACATGAACTATGATCAAAAATTAATTTGTTTATAAAACGTTCTATTATAATAACTCGAATAGCCTTTTGAAATAAGAGGATGCACTAGAATGATAATAATTACTATACGTAGAGGAAAGGTCCCTATTATGAGATATCGATTTCATTTTGGGTAAATGCTAGAAGTCTATAAGCAGAATAAACAAAAATGATAGATCATTTTGAAAGGAATTTAATAAGCTTTAAGATGACGTTACCTAAAATTTAATTCAAATTCCATTTTTTTTTAAATTAAAGAAATGTAAAAAAGTGAGCAAAACGCAATATGAAAAAATTGTGCTCCTAATATGAGATGTCCCGAAAAATCGATAGTAAAACGGAAAGTATATCAATATTGCAATTAAAAAACTTTATTTAATGTTTCTAAAATATGAACAAACAGCCAGCGTGCGCAAAAAATGAGCATACAATAGATTATACTTAGAACTTGTTTTCAAGTAGTTAGAATCAAGCATCGCAAATATAGGCACTCGACGTTCATTCCGGTTGTCTTTTTTATTATTATGCAATAACATTTATACTTTAGCAACGATTTTCACTATAACATAGAAGCATTCCTAATATTTCATATTAGGAATACCCTGAGTATCTCATATTACGATTTCCACGCCTTATAGCTTTACGATCATCAAATCTAACTTCTATAATTAAACAATTCAACATATCCCGTATTTTTCTATTAGTACGACTTTACTCTATCACTACATGAAGATTTTATTGCCAAATATTTATTTATTAAATAATAAACAATGTTTAAATGCTCATCTCAATAAAACTTGAAGACATCCAAATTTTTAAATCTTGTTTTACAATAACTACAGGCATGATCTAATAATGAACTTTTTACTAAATAGTTTTCAATCCAAGAGCAATAAATTCATAATGGAACCAATAGATAGCGTTTATTAGTTTGACAGACACGCTGCTATCTCATATTAGGCGCCTATCTTATAATAGAGGACTTTCCTCTATTTATTAAAATGTATATTTTTATTGATGTGACGTTTGATTATTCGCAACATGTTTTTATTAATATGTTACAGCAAGTGTAAGACATTGTTCAGTAAATAAATATATTTATTAGGAATAGCATATATTTTTAGTCAGTTGACATTTTTGTTACTATCTTACGTTAATGCATACATTGAGTCTATAAATGTACATATTTACAAAATTTTACTCTTCGACGTTATATAATATCTACGAAAATTGTCTGTGACATTATATAATATTTAAACATTTACATATAATCGTGACATTTTTTAGTTTTTAAACGGGCAACCGGTATTCTTCCTGAAAAATAAATTTTTATTCATATACACATATTTTTGCGTACATATACAAATAATGTTCTATATTCTTATTTTTTTATCATTAAGTCAATATCATTCGAAACTTAGTTTATTCTACTAGCATTATGTGTTGCAAGTTATTATTCATCGTCTTTTTATTATTCGTATTTTAATGACAAGCCATACAGTTTGTCATTATATAAATTAAATAGATACCGCAATGCTTCTGAAGTATTATAAAAAAAAGTATTCTGAATATTTTTAAATTTCAGATTGTTTATATATTTTTTTCATTATAATGAAACTATAATATTATATTATAATATATTATATTATATATTATATTATATAATATATTATATTATATATTATATAGGATATAATATTATATTATATTATAAAAATAAATATTATGTTATATATAATACTTTATCTTTTATATGATATGATTAATCTTTGGCTCTATTATTGGAATAAACAATTTGAAAAACTGATCGACGCTGATACCGTATTTAGTTTCTGTGTGTTGAAATATATCATAACGAAATAATTATTTAAATCTGGTTTAAACTTAGAACATTCATTTTTTGTTAAGATTCAATTTATAGATTATCTGTAATTAATTTTTTCTTTACAATCTAACTCTTTTGTCAGTAATTTTTCATCTTTTCATTATTGTATGTTTCAAAGTTCCTATTAAAAATAAAAAAAAGCAACAAAATATAGAAGTCAGTATTCATAATTGGTTCTTATTTTAAGACCTTCTTAAGTAATATTTTAAGATGCTAATACAGTTTAGTGACTGATCGATTTTTAAAACGATCTCATACGCAAGAATTTTCTCATATAATAATTGGCGATAAATACCGACTAAAGTCCTCTCTGTTATTAGAAAGGTAGGATTTTTAAAATGTCATAATAAACCAGTTAAGCACACTTTACTTGTTTTTTTTTGCAAGTTCTTTTTATCACAATTTCTTGCAATGGTATTACAATCAAATTTGCAAGAACCGTGTTTTATTTAGGTAAAAAAAAATTTTATTTCTCATCGTGACTTCTTTATTGAAATAAATTCTATGTAGAATACTTTTTAAAAGTATTTATTAGCAATTGTATATATGAATATTGACAATTTAATATAGCATATCGAATAATTTTATAATGAAATTTTACGATTGTTTTGTACGTCATGCAATTATGTATTATACAATTATATCTATTGTTTCTTTATAGACATAACGTATAGAAAATTATATGTAACTAACAAGTGTCTATCTAAAAAAAATGTTCACTCCTTCACATTCATTCCTTCACGCAAAACGATGCGATACCTCGCATCGTTTTTTTCTTTCACAGATTTGTAAATCAATAAATTAAAACTCTCTCTCTCTCCCTCTCTCTCTCTCTCTCTCTCTCTCTCTCTTTCTCTCTCATCTTTTCTGAATCTCCCATGATGATTTCTTTAAAATCTCCTCTCTCAATTTACAATTTTAGAAGGCATTATTTCGGCCTCGCGCACTTCTCGCGTTCGTTCTTCCCGTAAACTGAATCAGGTACTCAAATAACATGTTAGCTAAGATAGTTTTGCTAAGATACTTTTGCTGCTATAATGAAAAAACTTGTTACATTAGCAATCTTCATTGTAGCAAAGAATTAGTTCCTCTAACAATTCAAGTTAATTAAAACAACAAATTATGATAAATGGCTTTTATTAAAATTAAAAGAAAATATAATTATATTAAGCTGGATCTTCATAGCACACACCATGCGGGTCGCAGGTCGCAAGATTAGAACCTAATCTAACCTAATTATAGTATTTTATCGCTAAGAAGCGCCATAGCGGTCAGAACGTTAAGATTTTGAACTATTGTTTTATTTAAATGAATTAATTTCAGAAATTATAATTGCGTGCCGATATGGTTGTCGGACTTTCAACGCAATCAAATCTAAAAATATTAATAATCCCCCCAAATTTCCCAACTTAAAAACTGTAATAAACTTATTGCGAAAAATAATGCCTCGGCCGGGAGTCGAACCCGGATCTCTTGCATTCCGTGCGAGCGTCCTAAGCCTTTAGACCACCGAGACCTTAGCATTATTCCTCGCAATAATCGATATGTATAGAGAGTTACGCATTTTTCGGTATGCATGTATAAATAATAATAAGATTAAAAGACCGTTAATGTTAACTACATTGCTTTAAATTAATTAAGCGCCATAATTCATTTAAATGAATTTACAATAGTT